CCCCCGCTGCAGCCTCCCATGTGCCACTTTGCTGGCATGCACTCACGTATGGCCACATCTCCCATTGCATTGCTGGTGTACAGGTGGATGGACAGACCTTGTCTCTCTTTCTGCATCAGCTCCTGGGTGCAACGTGCACCTCATGGTGCCATTGCTGCTGACAGGAATGCACCCATTCCCCTGCCACTGTGCCACCTTGCCACCATTGCTAGCGCAGACCCACACCATTGGCCCTGCCCCCCATCCCATGCCACCACCACCACTGGTGTGGATGTGTGCACAAAGGTTGGCAGCCCTACACCTGCCAGCACCCATTCCCCCACACTGACACTGCCATGGGTGCAAATGGGCACATGGACCCCAGTTTCCAGGTCTCCCCACTGCTGGCTGCCACTGCTGCTGCTGCCAATGACTGCAAGGAAGATGGTAGTCCCAGGCTCATCTGTATCCCACCTCAGCCAATGAGCATGCACACCACTGCACTGCTGCTGCTGCTGTAGTACATTGGAATGTGCACAGATCTCACTGCTACCACCCACTGAAGCGCTTTGGCTGACACCAACCTTTGGAGTCCTGTGGCCAGTGGCCTGGGAACACCTTGGCCCCCCCCAGGCACAACAGGGTCCCAACATTGAAGGACCAATGAATAAACCCGGGGCCCAATACCAGCCCTCCAGAGTTAGAGCACACAGTCCAGGAGTGCTGAGCCAAGCGTCGACTTCACACACACACACAAAAAAATCTAAAAGAAATGAAGCTAGTCTATTGAATCTATCTTATATCACAATTAAACACCCAATAGTATAAAAAAAAATCCAAAGGACAGCAATGTTGAAGATTGTAGGAACATCAGCCCACAATGGTTCATCAGATAAGAAAGAACCAGTGCAAGAACTCTAGCAACTCAAAAAGTCAAGAGTATCTTCCTACATCCAAATGACTGCACTAGTTCCCCCGAAATGGTTCCTCACCAGGTTGAAATGGATAAAATGACAGAAATATAATTCCAAATATTGACAGGAATGAAGACCATTGAGATTCAGCAGAAAGTCAAAACCCGATCCAAGGATCCTAAGGAAAACAATAAAACAGTACAGGAAATGAAAGATGAAATTACTGTTATAAGAAAGAATCGGCATGGTGACTCATGACTGTAATCCCAGCACTTTGGGGGACCAAGGTAGGTGGCACCTGAGGTCAGGAGTTTGAGACCAGCCTGGCCAACATGGTGAAACCATGTACTAAAAATACAAAAAAATTAGCCGGGTATGGTGGCAGGTGTCTGTAGTTTCAGTCACTCAGGAGGCTGAGGCAGGAGAATCACTTGAACCCGGGAGGCAGAGGTTGCAGTGAGCCAAAATTGCACCACTGCACTCCAGCCTAGGTGACAGAGCGGGACTCCATCTCAAAAAGAGAGAAAGAGAGAGAATCAAACTGAGCTAACAGAGCAGGATAACTCACTTCAAGAATTTCAGAATACAATCAGTGGAATTGACCAAACTGAGGAAAAAAATCTCATAACTTGAAGACCAGTTATCTGAAACAACTCAGTCAGACAAAAATAAACAAATAATAATGAACAAAAACCTCTGAAAAATATGGGCTCATGTAAAGAGAGCAAATATATGACCCATTGGCATCCCTGAAACAGAGGTAGCAACTTGGAAAACTTCAGCATATCATCCTTGAAAATTTCCCCAACTTTGCTGCAGAGGCCAACATTCAAATTCAGGAAATGCAGAGAACTCCTATGAGATACTACACAAGACTGCCATTCAAAAGACCATTGTCCTCACATTCTCCAGGGCTGAAATGAAAGAAAAAATGTTAAAGGCAGCTACAGAGAAGGGGCAGGTCACCTGCAAAGGGAACCCCATTAGGCTAACAGTGGACCTTTCATCAGAAACCCTAAAAGCCAGAAGAGAATGGGGACCTATATTCAGCATTCTTAAAGAAAAAAATTTCCAACCAAGAATTTCACATCCGGCCAAACTAAGCTTCATATGTGAAGAATAAATAAGATCCTTTTCATGTAAGCAAATAATAAGGGATTTCATTACCACCAGAACTGCCGTTCAAGAGGTCCTGAAGGGAGTGCTGAACATGGAAAGGAAAGACCATTACTGGCCACTACAAAAACACACTTCAGTACACTGACCAGTGACACTATAAAACAACTACAAAAATAAGTCTGCTTAGTAATCAGCTAACAACATAATGATAGGAACAAATCCACAAAGATCAATACTAACCTTGAATATAAACACAGTAAATGCCCAATTAAGAAGAATAGAGTGGCAAGCTGGATAAAAAAGCAAGATCCTTTTTGTTTCTTTTATGCTGTGTTTAAGAGACCCATCTCACATGCAATGACCCTCATAGACTCAAAATAAAGACATGTAGAAAAATCTACCAAGCAAATGGAAAACAGAAAAAATCAGGGGCTACAGCACTAGTTTCAGACAAAACAGACTTTAAACCAACAAAGATCAAAAAAGACAAAGAAGGGCACTACTTAATGGTAAAGGGCTCGATTCAACAAGATCTAACTAACTATCCTAAATATATGTGCACCTAATACAGGAGCACCCAAATTCATAAAGCAAGCCCTTAGAACCTACGAAGAGACTTAGATAATGACACAATAATAGTGTGAGACTTCAAATGACTTAGACAGATCATTGAGGCGGAAAACTAATGAAGATATTCAGGACCTGAACTCAACACTTGACTGGATGTATGTAATAGACATCTATAGAACAGCCCAAAACCACAAAATATACATTCTTCTCATTTGCACATGGCACATACTCTAAAATAGACCACAGAATCAGACATAAAACAATTCTCAGCAAATTCAATAAAACTGAAATACCAACCACATTCTCAGATGACAAATCACAGTGCAATAAAAATGGATATCAATACTAAGAAAATCACTCAAAACTGTACAATTACATGGAAATCAAACAACCTGTTCCTGAACTATTTTTGAATAAATAATAAAATTAAGGCAGAAATCATAAAAGTCTTCAAAACTAATGAGAACATATATGTAACATATCAGAATATCTGGAACACAGCTAAGGCAGTGTTAAGAGGGGAATTTAGAGCACTGAACACCCAAATCAAAAAGTTAGAAAGTTCTCAAATTAACAAGCTAATGTCACAACTAAAGATAGTACAGAAACAATAGCAAACCAACCACAAAGCTACCAGAAGACAAGAAATAACCCAAATCATGGCTGAACTGAAGGAAACTGAGATTAAAAAAAAAAAAAAAAAAAAAAAAAAAAAAAAAAAAAAAAAAAAAAA